TGACTGTCTAATTGAGAAAAGAATATCCAGGATAAATTACTTCTTCGCTCGCTACATCAGTGCCACAGCTAGAAGTCAGCATTACAGTTTTTATTTAAAATCTGGTTTGTTGAGTGCTTGAATCATTGGTCACAGATTATGGTGACCATTATTGATTAACTCAGCGTAAAAATTAAAGCTAGTTAAAATTGAATTTTTGAGTACTCCTGCCTAATTTCAAGGTAAATTAGTGATAAAGCTTTTCCAGCCGTTTGCCAGATTTTCTCCAAGCCTTTTCAAGTAGGTAGCCCTTCCTTTTTGAAATGCTAAAAATTCCAGTGCAAAACAATATGTTTTATATGAGCAACATAATTTTCAAAGGAGCATGCAGATACAGAACATTTATCAATATCACATTATATTGCTCAATGTGAAAATCAAGGGAGAGACTACCAGAGGCCTCTGAAGCCTCCGCAGACTAATGACATCTGAAGGATCTCTGTCTACCTGAGCGTTTAATTGCTGGTCTTAAATTAGATTTGAGCAATTACTAGTTTATGCCACAGAGATTAAGGAAAGAAAAAGACATTGATTTTATTTCTGCTTTTATATTAAGATAATTTAGTATTATTCTTATTATATTGCTCCCGGTGTTTGTCTGTTTTTTTGCAGCTTTTTACAGGAATAGTTTTTTTATTTGGTAAGTTTCAATTCTTCTTTGACAAAGTAATGTAATATGTCATAAGAAGAAAAGTGCTGAAAATATTCTGCTTTGCAAAAGTCTTAGACATTTTGCGCTATTCTACACTTTTCATTCAATGTTCTTCCATTTTAAACAGATATACAATTTGGGGGTAATTTACTGAAGTATTTGCAAATTGTTTAAAGCTAACAACTAATATTGATCATTTTTTGTTGTAGTGAGGTTTTGGAGAAATAACCTAATGATATCAATAATGAGCAACATATGATAAATTTTAAATTACATTTGATTGCTGTATTGCTACTATAGCACTTCATACTAGTTGCTTTTACATAGTTTAAATTGAGTTGTTATAATCGAGTTTTCTGAGATTCTCATCAACGTGAAATTCAAAATGACTTCTAAATAACAGACTTATCAATAACAAATTGTTATCAAATTGTTATGATAGTCAAAAACACTAGTGGAGGCCTTTATTTTTTGCAATAATATATTGTACAGTAGCTCCTGATTCTGTGTAACATAAGACCCTTACACTGCAGTTTATATTTCCATAAAGATATGAGGTAAAACGGTATATTGTGCTTATCAAATGACCAATTCTCAAATTATCCTGCTATCGTACGGTATTATTTTTAATTTTGTGGATACCGATGAAGAAGAACTCAAAATACTTAAACAGCTGGCCGGCTGACTTTTTGGGAGACTTGTTTTTCCAAACATTTTACAACAGTTCACAGCACAGGCTTGGAAACAGTGGTTTTGACTTCCCTGTCAACCCCCAAGTGACACAACTTAGCCAAGAGTGAACAACCACAAACAACACATGCATAACCATCAAGACCTCCTTCTTTAAGTTTATATTTAGAGTTTTAGGAAACCTGAAATATAAAAGATCTCTGCCAATAACACAAAAAGGGTGAAATAGAGCATTTGTACGATTCACATTTTAACCAGAACTGTAGCCTGCCAAATTGTCACTTACAAGTGTCCAGTTCGCTAACCAGAGATAACATTTTCAAATCATAAACAGACATTCTGGCACCCACAAGCTGTTGCTAATTTTGACTCCTTGATTCATGTGAACAAATGTTTCACAGATGACCATTCCCATAAACGTCCCTTGGTAATTTCACAATCATGGATATAGATGCTAATACTTCTTTGGCAACAATACAGGCAAAATATATCATGATTAGAACATATGAATGAATAATAACTAGTAAGTATTAGCAGTGCAAATCACATGGATTACAGCAGTGCCTAAAATTCCAGTTGTATTCCTTATGATCCAACTTTGAAATTATAATTGTGTCACTTGTGACATAATACAATTTCCTAATTAAAAGAGACATTCCGCTTATCCCTAAAATGATCAAGTATGAACGGATAAACATATAAAGTTTGTAAATTCAATTAAACTGTTTAGATAACCGGGATTATTACTATTTAGATCATTCAGATCAAAAACATAACTAGATCGGGGAAGTAAGTTTTTGTTGTGACATAATTACATCATTAAACACATTTTCGGAAAAAGGAGCCTGAACATTACAGGTTGGTTAACTGAATATAATGAATTAGTATTGCTGTAACAGTTGATCACACATTGATCAGTGAGTTAAATCACTTTATAGTAAGATTGCCATATAGAACAACAGCCTCCTAAAGCTGGCATTAAGAGCCTTCTACTTAAAACTACTGCTGCCAAAACAATGTTGTTCCCTTTGACAAGCATTTGAAAATATTGCATGTTTTATTTCTGTGGTCTGGCATTGGCAAATAATATAGACTATAGGATAGGGATTTAAGAGAGAAAAAACTCTTTGTCAATATCGTAAAGGGTGATATTCAAGGTTTATCCCTAAACCATGCAGTCTAGTAGCATCATGTCATGATATTGCATTTGTGATGGATCCTGATATCTCTAATCAGGTTTTTGTATGTTCCGTAATGCTGTATTGCATTTGCAACTATAACTGTTTGCTGTGCAGAAACTATTCTTTACATGGTGCTCTCAGATGTGACAATACTATAACTGGCTCATCAACACACATGGCTGATCAGTCCTGGATTGATTGCTTCCTGTCGTTGAGTCATGCTGAAGGATCCAAGTGATGATGGACAGGTGGTCAACGAATAACTTCAAGGTCCTGTAACTTTACCAGAGCACATTCTTTCTCTCTTTTACTGAGTCATGCCTGAGTTAAGTGCCGTTCAAACTGAACTGTGTACCTTCTTCTGTAAGCAAACGTCACCTTTGCAGATCCAAACACACTCGTAAACTCAACCGACTGTCACAGGGTTTATTTTTTATAGTCCGGAGGTTATGAGGAGTAGAGAAAGAGTATATGAGTTCTACTACTTTCTATGGCGATATAACAACTACTCCTACTATCATACTCAAACAAATTTTAAAAAAAAGTAATATACCCCTGAAGTAATTCAGTATAGAGGCATGTTTCTCTTGATAAACAATGATACTATAGAGATATTCGTTTTTCCATACAGACAATAAACTAATTTGAGATTAGAAACATATCTAAACATTTCTAAACAATTTGTCATGTGACGTGGTTTCAGTTTTTACTGAGGGAATCCTTTCCAAGTGAACATGTTTTTTTTCTCTTCTGGAAGCTTAATTCCATTTGATTTGAACGAATGATCATATTCAGATGGCGTGGATTAACCTCATATGCAAAACACACAATTCTGAAGGTTTTGTTAACTTCAGAAATTAGATACTATAATTTCATTCCTTCCAAACTGTAATAAATAACTCAGGCACTGCAAACAATTAGAGTTGTCGAGATATTAGCGTTATAAATGTGACTTCAAAAGAGTCTTCTTATAAGAGAAACATACTGAGCAGTTTTGTTAGATATTTCTGCAAATACAATTACAATGAGAAAGTCAGCTGAGCTTTGGTCGAAAGTTATTTCTAAAGAAATGAATGAAGATAGAAATAATAAAGGATTCATGTACTCTACTTGCTACAGGCAAAACACCAACATGATTTACCTTTGAATGTTTTTATAAAGTCATAACCATTAGACACTCCCATGGAAAGAAAATGTCAGTCTTTCAATTTCATTTTCTCTGCTCTAATGTAGAAGTGTGGCTATAATAACGAGCTCACACTTTCATATTGTCAGTGCTTTATATTTTAAAATATGTGTTGCCATTCTACATGGCAGATTTTATCAACATCATACATGAAAGTGAGAAAGGACGTGTTTATGTTACTTTCATTAAGTGTGTTATTTTTTGTATTTTGCATTTTTTTCTTGTTCTACTCTGAAAACCAAGGGAATTCCGGTACACAATGCATTTTTCAAAGACCCCAGTAATCAGTTATTTTATAGAACACATTTTAACAGTGAATATTATCTCTCTTACAGAGATTCCAATGAGGTAATAGTCAGGTTTCAAAAAGTAATTTACACAAATACATTTACAAGATAACCTCTAATTTATCACTTGCTTATACTTTCATACAGTGTTTCAGACACTGCTATATTTATTATCGAAAAGCACTTGAAGATGATTTTTCTCTGCTTTGAAATATGCTTTGATTGTCATTGTAGTACTGTTGGAAATTAAGTGGTATATTTGTGTTAATCATGTTTTGCTGACGGGTATACATCACCCATTGCCTACCTTTTTGCAGCTGAGAAATTAATATTTTTTCTAGCAACTTTAAATGCAGTTTGTTCACTTTGTAATGTGGGGATATTTAATCCTTCCAAAAATGTGGAAGGTCAGTGTGTCTAAAGGTTTTTTAGGTCTCGTTAAAGCAACAGTACCTGAAAAGCTCTTTACTCTTTACAAAGTTTGTCTTTGTTACATTAAACTGCTTACCCAAATATTTATAGAGAATACCGTTCGGTTTCTTTTATTTTGTTATGTTCAAGAACCACTGTTAAACTGCTCATTTTGTTAGGCATACCCATTTCAAAATCCAGACACAAGCTAACAAAATTCAGTTCAAAACATTTAAATGTTTAAATTTTTAACTTTTACAATGTTTTATAGTGAAAACGCTTGGGAATTTTAAATCGAACAGATCGTCTAAGGACTGTATTCCTGTTTTACAATATGTCCCATAGTTAAATGAGAATTAAAACATAATTTTTCATAGAAGTAAAGAATACTTATAGCAGAATGCGCCTGACAGAACTGCTGAAGGCTGCTTGTAGCATCGTGCGAAAATACAACCTCACAAAAGGCATGTAACTTTTGATTTATTTTTTACGTCCACTTCATACATATTCATAGCTATATCTTCGCTGAAGAAGGGCCCCTAGCGACGGCCATTTGTAGTAACTGATTCACTCCTCTGTTCCACATTTCAGTGCAGCGCTGCAGTTGGTAGCGTTTTCACAGGAGGGCGTATGAGCTGGCCGGACCGACGCATTACAGTGTGCACTTTTTTCCTTGAAAGACAGAAAATTAACTCTCTCTCCATCACACGGATTACGGCTCTTTTTAAAAGAACAATAACACAGCCGCAGCCGCCTTATTTCCCCCCGAAACATTCCTGCAGCCAGCAGGCCTGTCAAGAAGTGGGTGTCTGTTCACAGGCGAGGAAGGCTGTGTTTCCCCGATGGCTGGCTGGAAAGACGGCTCGGTGCAGGAGAAGTACCGGCTCGTTGTGGTGGGAGGCGGTGGTGTCGGCAAGTCAGCTTTAACTATCCAGTTCATCCAGGTCAGTAAACCCGGTGTCTTAAGGCGTTGCTATTTTCGAGGGGAGCCTTATGGAGGAAGAGGCGGGGGGTCGTTGCATTGAGTAAGGGGGCTCCTACTTGCGGAAAAGGGGGGTCTGACCTGTTATTACGGTGGCTTAGGCCTGCAGAGCACCTATAAAATGATATTTCCCCCCACCAGAATTGCTGGTTTTAAGGGGGCAAATGAAAGTTTCGGGGTTGAGGAGTAGTACCCACCCGCATGCAGCCGGAGGAGACGCTGTAGTTTCAGTGCAAACGGACAATGAAGGTGTGGACTTCGATTCCTCAGCCATGAATGACTTTGAAGTTGGTTTCATCTACTTTAGCGCTTTAGAGTTAAATTGCGGTTAAGTTCTTTTTTTAATAAGTAAGGTTAAGAATGACATTAGGTTTTTCTGGGGGACGTCATCTAAGATAAGGCTTCAGTGCGTGTGTTTTTAAAGATTCGAGATGAGTCCCTTCGCCTCCTAAATAGGTGTAGTTTAGGAGTATAACTGATTTAAGTCGTAGGTCACAGCTCCTTCCCCTGACTTGAGCAGCTCCCCTTTCAAAAAAAAAAAAGTTTTTGAAGTGGTTTACGCATTCAGGTAATAGATTTCTACTCGCATGGTTTAAGTGCTACGTTTGCCCTGATATAAAAGTTCCTCTCAGTAGTTTGTAATTACTTTTCTTTCCAAAGGGAGCTGAGTAAACAATCAGAGTAACAGGGCGGATCGTTTTTTTTGTTCAGGGATCTTAAACATTTGGAAGAAAAAAAGAAAACATTTGCCCTGCGGTGTTACTTCTTATGTAAACGTTTTTAAAAGAAACAACGCCTTCACAATCGAGATGTTAGTTTTTGTTTGATCTCTCAGTCTTGTCGATACTTCGGGGAAAAAACAATGTACTGAACAAGACGCTGGGGTGTATCGTCTATAGAAAGTGCAAATACGCGAGTTTGTGTGATAGCCGAGAAAGTAAAAATAACTTTAATGCGCAGTTACAAAGGGCTGTAATAGTAGGAATATGCACATAGCTGAAAATAAAAAAAAAACTGGAAGCTGGAGCGGAGTTGAAATAAAAAAAAATATATTTTCGCTTACTAATCCACCCGTGTTGTCTTTTTAAATCGACACATTTATTTCTATCTAGATGTCCAGATTTTCAATCTATAATCGTTCGAGCCACACCCGCTTTTGAATGTTTTTAACACAAGGCTACCAGAAAGAGTTTTGCTACTTTTGACTGGAGCTGAAGCCTGTGTATATGAATACTTTAAATTTAAAATGTAAAAAGTAATTGTTTGAATAATGCCGCATTTGAATAGAGCTCTTTTATAAAGCTCAATGCAAATGTGTAAATGTTCCGTATATTAATGACTTAAAGATTTTATTCCTGAATATGCGTGAAATCAGCATGTCAGTGGTATACTCTGTGGATCTTTATTTGTAATAACGGCATTTTGTTATAAAACACCTGAATATCTGGCATAGTTAAGGATGCTGTTCTTTTTCCAATAACCCATCACCCAAGGTCTGCAGTAACAAGTTAGTTGTGGCAGAACAAAGTGAAAGGCAGTGGTAGTTATGAAACAGCTGTCATAGAAACAGCTTTTCTTCAGTTGTCATTCCTCGCCTTGGCACAGATACACTAAATTCCAACTGATAGCCACTTGTCCCCCGCTTAAAGAAACATTTTTTTTTATCACAAAGCATCTGACTTCCCTTTCTTAATTTACAAGGTAAATCAAAGCAATATTGTTTAGGAAATGATAGGAAGTTTTTTAAAAGAACTTTTAGACCAATGCTTGCCGTTTTCTGCTTTGAATTTAATATAAATGTGCCAATCAAAAAAGAAATCCTGTGCATTGATTGGCTGGAAAGCCGGTGTTTGAATTACTGATCTCTGTTCACTGACAAAAATGACTCCATTATCTTTTAACCAGAAGGTGGTTACTGCACATTCAAGTGTTTTTTTTTTATTTTGAGATCACTGGAATGCTAAGCTCATCTAACTCTCAAGTTTAATCAGGCTACATGTCCTAAATGTATAAAATGGAATGTGTTCAAAATAGTTTAGCAGCATAGCAGTGAAATACTAATGCTTTTGGTGGAATCTCTAGTCTTGTTTTTCTGAGAACAGGTAGACCCCTTGTCCTGTTGTTCTGTTTGTTTCCAATTTATAAGATAGGCAAAAGCCCATTATTGTTCTTTCATGGACATTAGTAGGGTTGGGTTACAGACTTGTGGTTGGTCCTAATAAACCTTTTTCAGTCTGATGAGACACTATCAGAGCTATGCTTGAAGTGTTGTTGCAGAATGTATAACACACTGACCATATGCTGGATTTCCAGACTTATTTTTATATTATGTTTGACTTTAGATATGCTGGTACTTTATTTTTTAGCTCTACAATCCTGAAGCTGTTATCTGCTCCCTTTGAAAAGCATAGTTAATGTCTAATAGGGCTGGGAAATGAGGAGTGTTTTGTGTTTTTTCAGTCTGCTATGTGTAATATCCAGACTGAGACTGTGTTTGTAGACTGTAGATGTATTCTGTTGGATTGCTTAGTAGGACTCTAGTCACATTGCAGTTGGCATAACTACATCACTGCCACTTTCTGTGAAGACGTCCGTACAAACTTGCTGAGTTATTCAAACCATTCAGCAGAAATTTTGCCCATTACTTATAACAACTTGTTTGATAGTAGTGGTTTCTTTTAGAGTGGACACAAAAAGTAGGAGGCTGTATTCATACCAAATAAAATAATGTGTCAAAAGAGTCGTTTGTTTTCTTGCTCTGTACACAATCTTACAGGTTATTTAGGTTTTAGACATTTCATTTTCTTGAATATTAAAATGTATGGTTTTATTTTGTTTTATAAACACGCTGTTTGCAGTGAATGTTAAAAAAATGTTCACTAATTAGCTTGTTTGAGGTTTTTATTTATTTTATTGTAGATTTAAAAAAAATAAGCATAAGGTACACACTAAGAAAACAAACATCTTATAGATTGTAACAGTGAGGCAGTGGAAGATGAACAACAACTTGAAGAACACTGAGAAAGAAATCGCTCAGCTGTCTATATGTCTTCCAAGCAATTCTGTCGCAGAGGACAAATGGTTATGCACAGCATTTATTGTTTCAAGTATTCTGCCGACTTATTGGTATTGGACAATATCCAAGCGTCTTAAAGTGAGAACTAATTCATTCCTCAAGATATGGTACATATTTGTGAGACACACTAAACCAAAAACATGGACATTTAAACACTGAAATAGAAAGCCATCTGCACTAGAAAGTAAAAATAATGTTTTACAAATTAAAAATTAGTACCACCACGAGTGTCACTTCAGCAACCTTTATGAAACCTATTGATTTGTCATTGCAATGAAGGGATACAATTCACCACAAAGATAGCGCACTCTGTTGTATTTACAACTGACTGGTACCACTGATAAAGGACAGGACAAATAGAATACCAATTTATACTTTCTAATCCATTGTTGTTCTTAGGGCAAGGGAATCACATCATAATTCATTCATTATAGGAATGGATCAGTTGGTTCCACGTATTGATAAATCATGCAATTCAAAAAAGAGAATTAATGATGCATTGCCAAATGATATCTACATAGAGATAAGTCAAATCAAGCAAATTAAGATTTAACTATGGAACACTTCTGTTTTATTTTGTTAAAATCAGGATGAAGAATAAGTTTTTATCAGGCTGTACATGTATCATTGCACCAGATATGTGGAGGTCAGTATACACAGTATTTCTGCACTTGGATTTTGTCAGTTGATGAGGTTGGGAATGTAGCTTGGGCCTGGAATCAGCTACTGTATGTTGTGATGTTCATAGTGGTTATTTGGAGAACACGTCCAAATTCCAGTGATATTTTTCTTGCGAGCTTGTTGTGAATAATTTATTTTTAAGCTACGAGTAGAAAGAGAAACGGTGAGCTCTGTTGTTTGATTGTATTTAGAAAGCAAACAAAAAAAAATATGAACAGGAATACTGGGTAGGAGGCAGCTAGACATTCTATAGCTTTTCAGTCCTTGTTGTTTCCTTTGTAAATTCATTACCAAGCAGCGAGAGCAAGTGGTAGAATTGAATAATGCACTTATGTCATCACTATCTGTTACCACAAATAAACTGGTTCAGAGGCAGTAAATTCTCACTGCCATGCCCTTAAGGTCTACTGACTAGTGTAGAAACTACATTAATCTAACCTTGAGAAAAATCAGTGGTTTTTCTGTAGTTACCATTTTGAAACATTTCTTATGTGTTGAATTGCATTTGGTTATCTCAATGAAAGCATCATGTATTGAAAACTATGTAGCTGGTGTTATCTTACCTGTTTTGGGATTGTACTTGGTATATAAATTATTTTTAGATGTGTGTTTAAAGAAATAATTCTTATTTGTCACTATACTTGATTACAATTTTGTACGAGAAATTCAACAGAGAAGTACATGAAAGTTTGTGGCATGTAAATAACCTGTTTTGAAAGGAATAGTTGTGGTTGTTTGGTTATAGTGTACACAGAATGCTAATGTATTTAACATGTTACTGATGAATAAGATTTTAATGTAATTTATTTGTAGCATGTATTGTCCTTTCTCTCATTTAATTAGTAATTCCATTCCTCTGAAACAGCACTTATTCTGGGAGAATCATGAACTGCACATTTATAGTAAAGCAATGCATAAAGATATTCTCAATTCTTGTGCTGATAGTAAAAGAGCTGAGCTTAATAAGCTTAGCAGCTTTTAATTAACCTTTTGAAGACCATGTGAACACATATCCCCTGTCCTTTAAGGTACAGTGGGCTTCCATGATGTCATGATGATTACGTGCTTGTAAAAACGACATTAAAATCTAAATAATGTTTCTGAAAACAGTTGCAGGAACTTCTATTCTTCACACATAAATCGGTTAACACATTGTCCTTCAGAAAATAATGAGAGCATTATTCTGAGTCATGTATGCTTGATGG